AAGTATTTCTCACTGTCTAGGTACTTCTCCCTGTCCTGTAGATGAGGGGAGAGAATGCAAATTGGAGTACCTCACTTTTACTTAGCTGTTAGTATCAGCTACAGCTGCACATGTTGTTGCTGGAGAGCAAGGTATTGTGTGACACAGACCTAGCCCTCGTGGTTGATACTATTCGATTTAAGGCCAGTGATTAATTAGGTTATTGCATCCATAGTTGGAGTTGTATGCGTAGCCAAGATTTATCTTTCTGTGGGAACATAGAGAGACACAACTGTGCTGAATTTCCTAGATCTTTGAAGCAGGAGTTCTTCTAATCCAAAATGGGATTGAGAATTCCCATCAGTGCATGAAGAGTGTAACGAAGGGGGACCCTCATTAATAAACCAAAATCTTGCATATCTGACTCTCAAACTGAGTTGAGTAAATTCGTGCTGCTCATCAAAGGGTTAGAGAAAATAGGCAGCTGCAAGAGAGAAGACAAAAGGAAAGCCTGTGGCTCAAATTAATCAAGAGCAATTGATTTGAAGTCAAATAGGAGCAGTGCAGGATTTGATGACTACCGTGAAAGTCACAGGGTGCTTCCAAGAGGCCATTGACAAAAAGTTTGGAACATGTTCCAGGTATTGTGACTGGCCTGGAAATAGAGGCAAGGGGGAGCTGAACATGAGTCAGGTCAAGACTTCACAGTATTGTACGTCAAATTAAAATAGTGGTGGTGACATAGCACATACTAAGGTAGAGAGAGTAAGATGTGAAAATCTTAGGTGGATGGGAGGGGGTAACTTGAGGTAGCTAAGGGGGGCTGCAAGGGATTCAGAAGAACTTTGGGTAGGCTGTGGTAGAGGCAGAGTTCTTGGACTGAACACTACCTCCTGCCCTTCAGTGTCAGGGCACCCCTTGCATCTGGGAGCCAGCAACTCTTTTGTTCACTTGAGGATAAGGTATTTAATATAGTTAGTCAAAATCACAAGTCAGACACTTAAAAAAAAATAAAAAATCTGAATATACTAACACCCACCCCACCCCCACCCCCC